GAAAGAGGACAAACACACTCTGGTCAGTTCCGTACTAGACCCAGGTCACCCTGAGGACAAAGACACAAAAGATCAGTCAGATGTCCCTGGGGTCCCTTTCCTGGAGGTCTCACCTGTGCCCTGAGTGAGGAGGGTGACAAGGAGCAGAGCTCAGGCCATGGTGCAGACGCCCCAGACGCTGCCTTCTGAGCCCCAGCCCTGGGCCTGAGCCCCCAGACCTCTCTTTTCCCCTCCCCCACAGAGGAGGGTGGGGCCTCCATGCAAATCTGCTTCCTGCACCTGCCCTTCCTCACTGCCTCTACTGTGGCCCTTGATTCTGGGAACATCTGAGTCCCTGGACAGCAGAGCTGCCTGAGAGATTAAAATGGACTGTCATGTATTTTCTGATTCAGGACAGACTGACAAGGTGACAGAGCCCAGAACATGGAGCCCAGCTGGCTGTGTCCTCTCCTTCTGTGGCGGGTTGTGGTGGATACAGAGGGAAGCAAGAACTCCCCTCCTTCTGCTGGACAAGGGGAGCAGGGCATCAATGCTGCGGAGGAGGGGACATCCAGTGACCCCTCTTCCAGGGACCCAGGCAGTGCCGGGGATACTTGCCTTGTCCCTCATGCTCTCCCCAGTCCCCTAGTCTAAGGTGCTAATGCATCACCCTCTCCGCTGCTCTGTGGTGGTTGAGGTTGGAGATGCTCCCTGGCATGTCCAGTAGAGTGATTATGGGACACGGGAGATATTGGACACCCCTTCCTCACGGCCCCCTTAAGGCTGGCTTGGAAGAAGCTGCTGGGCCTTTGGACAGGACAGGATGACAGCACAGACAACCTCACCCAAATCTGGGCCCTGCTGCCTCGCGTTGGCCTCAGTGGTGAGAGCTGAGCCCAGGGAGACAGATGAGTGGGGGCTGGACACCCAGGTCTCCCTTCCCCCTCCTCAGCTCAGTGCCAGGCCCCCGTGCCTGCAGACAAGCCTCACCTTCCCTCGACTTCCTCCAGAATGAGGTACATCACCTGCAAAATCAGGAAGCCAAAATGCCCCCCTCGGGGTCACCTTGCTCACCCCAGGATGGCCTTGTCACAGGGTTAGTCATGGGAGGTGGACGTGGGCTCAGGGATGAGGGAACCTGAGACATAAATTAATCCAGTCCCGTTAGAGGTGCAGAGGAGAGAAACGGGCCCCCGAGAAGATGCCAGAATCCTTAAATATAGACAAAATAAGGATAACGTGAGACAGAGGGAGAGCTCCGTCCAGATAGAGAATGACCCAGGGAATCAAGGGGGAGATTCCGGGGCTGAGGCTCTGGAGGAGGGACCGGGTCAGGAGGGGCCTGGGGGTCCAGCTCTGGGTCTTCTCCGCAGGAGGGGTTGGTTCCTGGGGACACGGACATTCTCTGTCTTCCCCTTTGTGCCCTTGAGACGCCCTCACCTCAGAGCCTGGCACCTTGCTGAAGTAAAGGCTCTTCATCACAGACACGCTTCCCCAAGGGTGTTTTTCCAGAAAGAGCTGAGTTTGCAGTATATTTTACACTCAGGATGATGGGTCCTTTCTGGTTGCAAATGGACATGACCCCTCAGGCAATGGACTAGGAGTTTATGGAACATGAGTATTGTGATGAAGGATTTTAGTGTCACTGTTCATATCACACGACCACATTCCAGGAGCTAAGGAGGTGAGGCCCTGGCTGAGCTTGCGGTGGGTGAAGGGGAGCCTCTGGGGGCGGGAAAGGAAAGCTGTGCGGGAAAGCGGTAGCTCTGGATTTGAGACAATCGTTGGCGTGTGTTTCACAGAGGTATGTGCTGTACTATGTAGACATTCGTTTAACGATGACTTTTTTTGAGATTATAATAAAGCGGGGACTGGTTCAGGAACTTCTCACAAGTCAATCAGTCAGGCACCTGAAACCAGCTCAGATCCCAGCGGTTTGGGTCTTTATCTGCGGGGGTCGCTGTGGACAGGCTCCTGTGATCACTGCAGGTGTCCAGTGCTTCCTGCAAGAAGTAAACCCCGGGGTCACGGGAGCTGTCTTGCCTCTACTGCACGTTTGTTCACACAAGCAGCAACTCAGGGCCCCTCATGATTCGGGTGTCACAGTTGAATTAAAAATTCCCGAGATGTTTGCGCCCACTCAATAAAACATGACGGAAATATAATAAGATTGACTGCCACAAAAGGAGGAAAATTACTACTAACAAATAATAAGTAATAAGCAATAAGCAATAAAGTAAAAGCATATACATATTAAGAATCACTAAAATCAATTACTGGACTCTTATCTTTCTGGAAAAAATTAAATATGGGATTCATTAAATACTACCAGTTTAAGAAAAGAATGTCATAACAGCCAGAAAAGTTTAATGACACCTGACCCAAATTCAATGGACACAGGAAGGTATCAGGCCAGCGATGCTGATCCCTCGTTGCTGTGAATAATAACAACCCTGGCGGATACCCTGACCATAGGGACAGCGTAACCATTTCATGTTACCTCCACCCAAAGTGACATTCCTCTCATCATTGTATAAATATATTCATATATTCAAATATAGTATAATTATTTGAAGCTTCACAGAAAGCTGCCACTGTAACCTGAGACCCCACACATCGCACACCTGGAGGGCGGTGGCTCCAGAAATCTCCTATTGGAGCATCCTCTGCTCTCCACATCTGCCTTGTGGTTTTGTTGGAAATTCTCCATGTTGTAAAAACAGGCACCAATTTCTCAGCAGGAGATTGTGCTCCCACCTTTACAGGAGACACTCGTAGAGGCCATGGTGGCTCCCGACCCCCTGTGCACAGCTGACTCTTGGTAAAGATCCCGCTGGTACCCTTACACTCAGGGACCAAGTCTCCCCACAGGTGCCACAGGGGATCCTGGGACAGTGGCCTCTGTGGCACCTCGGTTGTCTCCACCAGGACACACACCTGTCAGGCAGGTGTCGCCTCTCACCAGCCTTACACACAAGGGGACCTGACTCAGGGCATTGTTTGGTGTCCAGTAGCTCAGACCCCTCTCCCTGTGCTGTGACCCAGCTGCTGGGGGTCCTTGTATGACCTTGTTCAAGCCAAGGTGATTCAAGCATGCTGATACTGACCTATGTGTTTATAGGGAAAG